TGTTTCTCTTGAGAGCTCTCAGCCCTTTCAGCTTGCCTGACCTACAGCTTTCACAGTCTACCACCTGCACTTCTCAGTAATGCTTTCCACAGTCTTTGCTTCCTGATGGCATTTTTAAAATTGTGTACCAGTTCAGCTGTCAGGCCACTGAACAGAGTTCCTTAAGAATGAGAATCCATTGCATGTTATGTTTCCAGCCAAGAAAGCAAGAGACTGGTAGAGAGCAAGAGCTGTCTTGCAGGGCCTGTGAGCAGATTTAAAACAAGCTACTGTGTCTAGGCTCCTCAAAAAGCAGATGAAACAGTAAAATTGTCCATAGGAGCTGTCATGCTGGTGCATGCCCTGTCCAGGTAGATATCTAAAGCATGTTTACTCAGATTTGTGCTCAGGTCTTGCTTAAATGCAGGTTCATCCAGAATTCACGTGCTCCGCTGTACTGAAAGTAAGATGCTCTTAAATGATACAGCACTTTAAGAAATATTTGTTAGTATGCTTAATTGCTACTGGGCATTTAAAATTTGTATTGATGCTGTAGTTTATTTTTAGAGTGGCTAAATTAGAAAGCTGTTCTGTACTCAGGCTGACACTGGTAACCATGCAGCATCATGTCAGGCTAATCCAGAGGATGCTGTACAACCAGACTGCTGTGAAACCAAGGTGGGTAGATAGCTGACTGGAATAGTTGCAAGACAGAGGTAAATTGGCTTCACCTCCTGTCTTTGTTATGGCTGTTTACAGCTCTGTCACAAACTGCAGTGAGAACCTCTGTAAGAGAAAAAAAACTGCCTAGAAGAGACCAGTAATTGTTTAGTGGTTTGAAATGTCACAGTTTATAAGGACTGGTGTCTGCTGGATAAGAAATCAAAGATGTTGCCCATGGGATTAGCACTTGCAAAGTAAGCTCTGAGCAAGACTACTCTATCATGATTCAGCCAACCCAATGTAAATTTAAATGGAAAACACAAATAGTAGATACTGGGTTTACTTACTATGTTTGTTCTTTCCCTCAAATAGCAAAAAAAATAATTTTTTAACAAAAACAAACTTACTATGTTTGTTCTTTCCCTCATCTATAACTAGTTTACTACAGCTTTTAGATTAATTTTTTAATTCCTTAAGCTGTTGGACATTTATCACCAAAGCCGCTTACCCATTTGGGCATCTTTCCTGCTTGTGGGTCATGATGGTGAAACTGCAGAACCAGCACTGTTACCACCACAGAGAGACCAACGATTACCATGATGCTAGCGAAATATTGAGCTGAAAGTAAAAGGAGAACCTGGTTAGAAGTGGACCAAAAAAAACTAACCCCACCAACCCACAACCAAATATTTCTTGGCCATGCCTCCAGGTCAGGCTTTCGAGGTTGCCAGCGTACCTGTTCAGATCCTTCCTCTCCAGATAGGGTAGAGTTAGAACCACTGGAAGGCATCAACAGTTACTTTTTGTTCCAAGAGATGAATGTAGGGCCCCCTGGAAAGGATCGCTTCCCTGCTTTCTGCCAGGACAGTGAGAAGCTGACCTGAGCTGACCAGACCCACTCAACATCAGCATCCCCAGTCTGGGGTGCCCTGCCCAACAGCAGAGGTGCTGGAGGGAAATGCTGTCCCCATGGTGTCACTGCACTCTCTCAGAAAGCATCACTAGACCCCCTTCCCTTGCCCCACCACTGCTTACAAGGGGTTAGGAATACTTTTCAGCACCCTCCTCAGCCCTCAAGTGCGCTTCTTTTGGTGTGTTTTGCGCTTTCCTGTGAAAGCATGCTACACCCTTGCTGAGTCCTAAATTAAAGCCTGGCATGCAGGAAAGAAATCAAAATCTTGAAAGCCAGAGCTGAGACTTGAAACTGTATCTCCTAAGTGGCAGTACAGGTTTTGCATGCCAGAAGTGAGGTTGATGTGCTGGAGTGTAAAGTGCAATTAGCCACAGGGCTAATGATATTTGAAGGCTGCTGTAGGAAAACACTGGGGAGCATTACTGTTGGCTGATACAATGGGCCATTGTGGGAAGGCATGTGGCATGCCCCAGGCTGCAGCCTGCTATAACCTTCAGACCTCCCCTCTGTAGCTTGCAGGAAAATCCAAAATCTCAATATAAGCTCCAAGGCAATTTTTGTTCTGTCTCCATTTCTTAATACCAATTCTCACCGCCTCATCAGTGAAAAGCTTGTTCATAATAATGAGGATCTCAGGCTCTCCTGAAACCAACGCTAAATTGTTTCAAGAGGCATGCATGGCTTTCAGTGGAAAGATGAATTATGAAGCTGGATTAGAAGAACAGTCCTCAGGGTGAGATAAATAGAAAGGTCTCTACTGCACTTACTCATGAGAGAACAGAGACAACAGCCAGGCAAAAGCAAAACAAAACAGGAATTCACTTTTTAGGAACGCTGGCTGATCTGATTCCAGTGTACCCCATGTAACAGAAGCACAGCAGTGTTGATATTGCTGGTTTAATTACCTCTATAAGTCACTAAACACCTTCTGTAAATTCTATGCATTTTGATGCCAGCAGACTTCAAAGGCCCGAAGTGATCCATTTTAAATTACTTTGGATAGGATTTTTGCCAGGTCCTTGGATAATTAGTCACCTGGTTGAACTTGGAAACAACTTGGTATTATCTGACTCACGTTCCCAGCCAATGATCAGCAGAGGACATCATGCCCTCAGCTTTTTTTTTGGGCTGTAAACCCAGGAACAGAGATCAAGAAACTGCTAGATACCTGATAATATACATGGAAACCAGTTCTCTGAAGAACAGACTGGGAATTATAGGGAACCTGTTGACCCATAAAGAAAGATGTTTTTTGGGTTTACCTGGTGACAGGAAAGGGAGATGGCTAGGTGTGCATCACTTGCCTTGGGGGTGGGGCAGCGCTTCTGTCCAGTGAAGTTTTCAGTTGGAAAGCAAAGAAATAGGACATGGTACTTCAGCCCTATTATCAGTGTCAGGCAGTAAAATGTCACAAGATATCTGCGGAATAAGAACTGGCAGGTAGACTTATGCAGCCCAGGTAGATGCAGGTGTTGTATTTATTACAGAGGGAGAAAGCCCCAAAGCCCTGGAGCAAATCAGACCTACTGTAGAACTGGATTTTGCAGGCCCTGAAGACCAGCAATGAAAGGGGAGGAAGGAAGTAGTTATGGATGGCATAACTGTCACGTTAGACTTTCACATCTCTAGTTGGACATATTGTGAAGGCTATTGCCTCCCCTCCCGTGGCAAGACAAAGTAGACCTAATAGCTGTTAATCACAGAGGAACTGCTAGATCTTCTGAACATTTGCCTCTTTGACTGAAAACACAACTTACAATCCAGACCCTGCACTGGGGCACAGCTACATATAGGCATGGCTAAGACCCAGGTGGGTCTGGGTTTAGTGACTCTTCATCTTTCAGGAAGGAGAGGCCCCAGAACTGAGTCCATGAGGCAAAATAGTGATGGCTCCGAAATAGTATCCAACGCCCATTTAGTATTTTCTGATCTTTCCTTCCAGGTTTTAATCCTACATCTTCTTTTTTCCAGCAGCAGAAAAACACAATCCTCCTGCAACAGGCAGGAGAACTGGTGGGGAAGACTCCTGTGCTGTCTCCTGTGCACATCCTAAAAAATCATGATTCAATCTCCCTGCTGCTGACTTGGTGTTTCACTTCCTGGCAGTCTTTAGCCTTCACATCAGCCAGATCAAATTCTTCACTTGGTGAAAGCTTCAAGGGCTGCTGTTCATTTTCACCTCCAGCACCAGCTCTGATATGACCATGACTCAACCTTCTCCAGCAACCCTGTGAGCAGAGGAACCTAGCTGCTGAAAGGATCAAGCTAAGATGTGCATAGATAGCACTTTCCTTGGAGTAACAGGACTGCAGTCTTCACTCACCCTACGCTAGCCCCACACAGCCCTGAATGAACAGACTCTATTCCTGGGCCTTCACTGGTGTTGCTGAGCACAGAAGTAGGATGCTTTCCTGTGAGATGTAGCACAGGAGACAGGCAGTAGAGTAAGAGCTGAGTTTCCAAGCATCAGCCACAGCCCAGCCAACAGACTTTTTTTCACCAGTATTTTAGGATCCATTCTAAAGCCTTCAGCTCTTACACAGTTAGAGCTTTGAAGCTGCCACTTCCACTAAGTCCTTCCCTGACTGTGTGTCTGTTGGAAAGGGTAAATGCAAATCTGATTTTACAAAGAAGCTCAGACCCTTTCATTTGAAGTGTAGGAAGGAAATACTCATCAACTCTCACTAAGCATCTCTCTGTGTTCTGCTTAAGAGCTCCTGGTCACTAGATCATCCCTGGTATGGATGCATCATCTTGGAAGCTTTAACAAATTGCTTCACCCTAGGCAGTTACAGGAAGAGCAATTCCATACCCGAGTGCATTTGAAAGAGCAGGGGCCTGGTTGCTGTATATCAGCTGCTCTGAGGCACAGTGGGAAAGCTACTGACCCCTTCTATAAGGGAATTGGCTCGTTTGCACTCTGCCCTCAATAGCTACCACAAGCAAGGAAAAAGGAGCAGAAGACCTGCGGTTGGATCCCCCCAATATCTCTGACTCATACAGTAATGCTCCCCAAGGATACTGAGGATACTAAGGTCTGCACTGGTCACCATTAGATGATCTTCCTGTGTTTTCAAACCCTCCTGCTCTTTTCCTCAGCAGTTTTGTGTGAACAGAAAACATTTTTCATATGTTTAGTTATCTCTTTCAAGTAGTGCAGAGTATTTGTGCTTCAACAATTTATTTACTTGCCTTTGTTTGCCAAAGGAGGCATGATATAACACACTACCTGGACAGCTGTTTTACCATCTGGGAGTTGTCAGCTTCTGTTTCAGCACTGTCAGAAGATGATCAGGTGCTGTTGTCATAGCAAATATGTTTCTAATACAACCACAGATAGTCAGAAAGTATGTTTAAAAAAACAGTGAAACCAGCTTTTTTTTTTTTTTTCTTTTTTTTTACACATCTTCTGGCATCACCTATATCAAAAGGATGGCAATGATTTACAATTCGTAATTTGAGGGGCTTCTGGTACCATTTTTGAACCTTATGTGCCATTATGTTAGAGAAGCATCTTAGGATTATTTTAGAGATGTTTTGGAAGATCTGCTGTTTGCATGGAACTCAATTAACTTTAAGGACTGATTAGGAGCAGAGTAAATAAATCAGAAATTCTGAAAGGACTAAGATGATTCCAGATGGATGCTTTGCTTTGTTAACATTATCACTGAACACTGACTGGCAAAGTAATCTATTTTCCAAATTTGTTAGCATAGTCAGTCACAGGAAAGGCAGAGCTTCTCCGTTGTGGCCAGTTACAATCTTGGTGCTCCTATGAAACAGTGGGGGAAGGAGAAAAGTGTTATGTTCAGGTATTCACAGGGATCAAGCTGGAGACCTCCCACTGCTGCTCTCTTTGTGCTCCTTCTTGGCAGGAAATGTCAGGATTTGCACTTGAAATGATGGACTGGTTTAGAGCTGCTCTAAGTTCTGGTGAACTGTTAGAAAATGAGAGAAACGTTCCAGAGCATGCACAGAATGCTGTTTGAACAGAATTCACTGTTCCTCCTTCTGCAGACGGTCTGAACTTAATGAACTGAAGCCTGTGGAGGATGCAGGAAACCTCATACACGAGCAGAAGGGCTTTCAACCACCCTTCTTATTTTCTATGTCAGGGACCAGGGCGGATGCTAGGCAAATGCTGTTGCGGCCTAGAACAGCAGATGAGTTTCTCACAGACCAGGGGAACCAAAAGGTGAAGGAGAGATTCTCTTACTGGTCAATTTACTATGGTACACTAGCAGCAAAGAAACACAAAAGAGAATGTAGGTGGGAAAACTGTTTGCACCATTGCCAAGATTTGCTGTAGCATGGGCACCTTGCGCTGCCCACTAGCTGTCACTGACAACAGAAAGCTAACAGCATCACCTCAGTCCAGCCACTCCCTCATAAACATGAAATATCTTAAAAGAGTGTGAGACTTCAGTATTGGATGCTTTGTCTAACTTTTGCTTATGGTACTTGTAGAGGGCAACTAGGACAGTGTTTTTGCAGTGTTTTCAAACTTTTGCTCTCACGTGCTTTTGAAGAATAGCCCTGGGTGTTTTAGAAGTAAAACTGTTCTCTTTTTTTAATAAAGAGAATGCATCCAAGACTTTGGGAAAAGCGTCATTGATCATTGGGCATGAAACTCTAAGAGCCACTGTGAATGAGAATTTCTGTTTCATAGAAGGGAAGAGGCTGAGCAGTGTCCTGGCGATAGCAA